ACTTATGCTTAACGACCAACCTCAAGAAAATATCGTAGCCGAAATTGAGGTAACGGCATTGTGCATAAGCTGATCTTTTTCCTTGATCCGAACGTCATTAATTAACTTCTGAACAGCTCCGGCAAGCTTCCTTGTCTTGGACCGCGTAACGGGACCTTCGGGTATGATCAAAGGTCCTCGTCCAAAGCATGCTCGTCCATGATCGTATCATCTTATAAACATTTATTTGATAAGTGATTTATGAAAATATGGTTATGTGTCATCTCCACAATCACTTTCAAAATTTTTATTACGACACTAGATTGATGATTATGCGGGTTTGTAATCTAATATATTATTATAACCTATAAAAAATGAAATCAATCGATTAAGTAGAAAACAAATTTTGATTATTCATGAAAAGAAATAAAATAAAATTGAGAACTTTGAGGTTCGAAGTTTTTGAAATCTCACATTTTCATCTTTGAGGTTTCGTGGCTAGCTGGTTGAGGATATGGTTCTGCTTGGAGGTAAACTTTTTCTATGTTTCTGTGTTCCTAAAAACTGCAGCGGTCCAGGATTTTGTTCTTGCTTCCTCGGCTTTAACTCTTATGAGCTATTATTTCCGTGCCTCTTCTCCTTTTCTCATTAGCAGAGGCAGGGTTTGATGTGGTGTAGGCTTTCACCATGTAAGCTTGTCGTTGGTGGATTGTATTGTTGTTCAGGCCGGGGTTGGTGTTGGTCTCGCTTAGATTGGAGGTGTTCAGGTTAGTTCGTCGTGGCTAGACTCTGTTAAATATGGTTTTCGTAGTGGTTTTGCATCGGATATGCATTCCTTTGGGTTATTTCTAGTGTGGTAAATATTTGGTTCTTCTCGTCCTTTTTGAAAGTTGGAATCTAGGTTTGTTTCTTGTTGAAGCTTGGAACCTTCGCATTTATTCGTGAGGTAGACTTGATTCATCATAGGAGGATTTATTTCGTTTCTAAACATGTGTTTGATGTTTTTAGAGCTGCTTGTTAGGATTATTGGCTTAGTTTTAGAATTTTCTTTGTGATGTTGTTCTATGGACCATGTAAGTCTCCTTTAGTGTTCTCTATGTTTAATATATGCTCAGATGATCCCAAAAAAATGATAGGTGGAGACATTTGCAGTTAGGTATGAACACTTTTTCTTTGTAAAAACTTCTCACTTACTCACGTAATGGCTTTCTTCTTGTGCATCACTTCATAGGGATCATCAACCATTTTTTTCTAGATTATGTTGCTAGCGAATTGCTCAATAAAAAGATAGGATAATAATGAAAATGATGTATTGAATAGGTAGGTTAATTAAACCACTATATGGTGGTTCTTTTGAGGTTTCAATCAAAACTCTTACAGATGGTAGCCTCCCGATACTTTCTTTGAAGGGTTATTGTGAACAAGCAATGTTTGTATTGAGCTACATGCAGTGGCGGAGCCAGAAACTTTTTTTATTGGGGGCGTAAAATATTAAAAGTCGAAGATAAATATAAAACTGAACGAAAAGGTAATTAAAAAGCAGTCTCCTAAATAGAAAAGTTTCTTAAAAATGTTAATAAAACCCC